CCAGCCTCACCCCCCCCAGCTCCCTCAGCTGCTCCTCCCCACACTTGGCCTCTAGACCCTTCCCCAGCAGCTCCGTTGCCCTTCTCTGGCCACGCTCCAGCCCCTCAAGGTCCTTCTTGGAGTGAGGGGTCCAGATCTGACCCCAGGATTTGAGGTACAGCCTCTCCAGTGCCCAGTCCAGGGGGATGATCCCTGCCCTGCTCCTGCTGGCCACACCAGTGCTGCTCCAGGCCAGGATGCTGGTGGCCTTCTTGGCCATCTGGGCACACACTGGCTCATCTCCAGCTGGCTGTCAACCAACCCTTCCAGCTCCTTTTCCCCCAGGCAGTTTCCAGCCCCTCTGCCCCAGCCTGGAGCACTGCAGGGGGTGGTTGTGACCCAGTGCAGGGCTAACAGAAGCTGTGTCCCTCCACACTTCCTTGCTCTTAGGTGCCTCTTAGAACTTCAGCCTGGCAACACCAGTAGCTGCTGATGGGCTCTGACACAATAAATACTTGGCTCGATGAGGGTTTTTTGACTAGTGGTATCCATAGGTGCCTTGTGGATGGTGAGAAACATCACAAAGTTTCTCATTGTGTCCTGTAGACAGGTGGTAACCTCTGACTTCTCTTCTTCTCTAGCACGAGTGTCAGCACCATCACTCAAAGAACAAGAAACATTCTAAGAAGTCTAAAAAACACCACAGGAAACGGTCTCGTTCTCGCTCGGTAAGGCCTCCAGCCATGGCTGGAAATCTGCCCCTGCAGCTCTTCCTCACCCCTCTGCCCTGCTCATCCCCTTGGCTTTGTGTCTGCAGGGCTCAGAGTCTGAGGATGACGACAGCCACTCCAAGAAGAAAAGGCAACGCTCGGAGTCCAGATCGGTGTCGGAGCGTTCCTCCAGCGCAGAGTCTGGTAGGGGATCATTCCTGGGGGTTTTAGCACTGCCACTCTTCCATTGAGGAGGCTTTATCATTTTATTGATGTATTTTTGTGTTCTCGTGACATCTGCAGAGAGGAGTTACAAGAAGTCAAAAAAACACAAGAAGAAGAGCAAGAAGAGGAGACACAAGTCTGTAAGTGCAGGGGGTGTCTTTATCACTTGGCTAATGGACAGCTTGACACCCCAGGGGGGTCAGGAGAATGTTCCCTAGGTTTCACCCCTTCCACAGGTAGAGTAGAATAGAATCATGGGATTATTCTCATTGGAAGAGACCTTTCAGATCAAGTCCAACCATCCCCCATCCCTGCCAGGTCCCCACTGCCCCGTGTCCCTCACCCCACATCTCCACGGCTTGGAAACCCCTCCAGGGGTGGGGACTCCACCACTGCCCTGGGCAGCCTAGGACAAGACTTGACAACCCTTCTGGGGAAGAAATTTTTTCTCAAGTCCAACCTAAACCTCCCCTGGGACAACTTGAGGCTGTTTCCCCTCGTTCTATCACTTGTCCCTTGGGAGCAGAGCCTGACCCCCCCCTGGCTCCAGGCTCCTGTCAGGAGCTGTGCAGAGCCAGAAGGTCTCCCCTGAGCCTCCTTTGCTCCCGGGTCAGCCGGCTCTCAGCAGCTTCGTTGCCCTTCTGGCCACACTCCAGCCCCTCAAGGTCCTTGGAGGGAGGGAGATTTTACTGAAGGAGATCTTAGGTCTGGTGCAGAGAAGAGTTCTGTGTGGCATCCAGCCTGTCCTGTCCCCATGTGCACTGAGAGTGGTGGAAGTTCTCCCCTGCTGGACCAACC